TGTCAGCTGCCAGACGAGGCTCGTCACGCATCCTCGTCTGGACGCCAGAACGTGAGCCCTGAATTCAGAATAGGCAGGAGAGGCGCGCTGGTAGCCCCCACCAGACTTCCAGGCATCAGAAGACGTTGGGAGGGTGGAGGGAGAGTTTGCGCCGAATGCAGAGGCAGATGCGCGGGTGAGTCGAGTGTGCTGACACGAACAGAATATAGCAGTATAGGGTCCGGACAGGAATCGCACGCGTGCGATCGAGAGACCCTGCAGGCACTCCGTCGCTCAGACGTCGTCCGTCCGAGGTCCGCCTTGTCCCAACCACCGACTTGGCCCACGCAACGCTCGCCTTCCCGAATCGATCCACTGAGGCCACTCGTCCAGGACCGTCTGTGCGCCACCGATCGTGCTCGTCCAAATTGCGACGTGTGCCGCGTTAGATCCACCTCGGGGCGCTGTTGGGTGGCAGCGTGATATCCAATGACTTCCTGGGATGCCGCAGTGGACGTTAAAGGATGGGCGTGCGATCCCGAGCCGGACAAGAGAAGCGCACGGGTCGGGGCAGACGCGGAGCAGCCGGCAGTCTTGGATGAATGCCGTCAGCCGTTTTCTCCACGCGCCTTTGAACGGTGGGGGTACCTGCAGAGCGCAAGGGAGATACGCCTGGCTTGCATCGAGGATGCAGAGGCGCAAACGTCTGGTCGCAGTGGATCGGCGCACCTCGCCGTATTCTGCGCGCATGTGTGCATTCGCGTCTTTGCACGTGGCAGGACGAGGTGTTGCACACATGGCACCAAGGGCCGGCATCGCCTCATCGCGAGGGAGGACAGCGGGGAAGACAAGGGGGGAAGAGAAGGAAAAAGAACCACCCAGCGCATCACCGGGCCCGTATTCCCGCGCAGGGCCCAGGGATCCTTGTCGTGCATTCGGGTTTATTGCTCGATTCCGGGAGTGCATCGACCATGACAATTTGGCGACGTCTGCGCTGATGACGCGGCTTCCAGAACGTTCGACGCAGGTCCCTAGCTGTTCTTCGCGTTTCGTCTGTGCGTTCTCAATCCAAATTCGGTTACGAGACTGCTCTCAAATAGCCCTTTCTCCTCATGGATTGAACACACACTTTCTGTGTATCGTCCGAGCTCGTCTCTGCCACCCGCACCTCTCACCGTCACACAAGTCGTCCTACGTCCACTATCTGTCGTGCCACAAAGCTGAGCAGCATTTCCATTACGTTCGTCAGTGAAGATACAGGTAGCTGGAAGCCACCCTGCATCGAACCAGACACTCTCGATGCGATAAGCCAGGCGCTCGTTATCGTGCGAGCTTCCCTCTCTCGGCGGGCGGGTCAGGACTTGTGCACTGGCGGGTTGAGGTGGGCGCGGAGGGAACGGTCGCCAAGGTCTGTCCCGCGGTGGCAGGCTCCGTGAATGTGGCAGGCATGGCTGGCTTCACGACACGTGCGCTGTGGCTATGTCTGCGCCGCGACGGACATATGCGGACAGGCGGGGCAGGGGCAGGTCGTCGCACCCCGAGCCCGCCGCCTGGGGCGCTGCGAGCGTGGGGGGTGCGTCTGCGCAGCTCCGGGAGCGGGTGGGCCACAGCGATCACATGCCCAGGATGTCCTTGGTCGCTGCGACGCTGGACGAGCGGGATGTAAGGATTGGGATACTGATACTGGAGTACCGAGAGGTGATAGTTGGGCGCAGGCGGGCAGCCTGAAGTTGGGAGCTTGACTTACGAATGCCGTCAGACAGCCAGGTCATGTGCGCGCCTGGTGTTGTTGAGCCAGACGCGGCGAAGGTTGGGTCTTGCGAGAGATGGCTGCAGGGGAGCTCTCCATGCGAAGAATCGGGTGTTTGAGACGTTGACCATGACTGTACTGCAGCCCGCTGGTGCTATCCCATGCGGGCGAGGCGTACGTGCGCACAGCAATATTGCACTGGCTTGGCGGTGCCTGACGGTACTACACGTTGCGAGCCTGGTATTGTTCAATCGTCATCCACTCGCAGAGATACTGGAGATTTGTTTTGGATG